ATTTTGTTAAAAAACAGTCACATTTTCAATTATTATACATTATATATAGTATATAGTATTATTGCTATTTTGAAATAAGTTCTTAACCTTATTTTTCTTAAAACATAGAACAGTAAATAAAGAATTATAGCAAATAATTATCTCTTCTAGTTACGAACTTTATATTCATTTGCTGTTTGTCATAGGTTGCTAAGCCTTTTTGATTTTGCATGTGGAGGATGTAAAACAAAAAAAATTATTTAGATTTTATATATACATTTTGAAATAACCAAAAATCATAAATTATTACATTAATATCACAGAATTCCTCTATAATTTATCAAGCTTTGTAGCTAAGCTGTATTTGGGTCTGAAAAATATGAAATTTCGAGCTCACTAATGTCTTATCTTACCATTTGGAATCCAGCGTGAAAAGAACGAGGTTGCCGTGCAAATACTTCAAAGAGGCTGAGAAATCTACTAGGGGGACATTCTGAGCATTTGATTGGTTATACACATGTCATTGGGCGAAGTAGGGGACGTTAGCAAGCATTTTCAAAAATTGAAGAGGTGGGTGGGGCCATGTTGGTTGATTCAATAAATATATTAATATCTCAGAAAATAGAAAAGATAGATAGTTATTGTTTTATATTCTAGTTTGTCAGTATTTGTAATTAGAGTATCTAATTCATAAGAAACTATAGAATTTGTTTTTGGACATCACAAACATCTAATTTGAACTACTGCTGCATTCAACATATCAAATGATGCACAAAAATCAATATTTAGGTGTTTTTTTTATATTTTCTTTTAAATTAAGAAATTAACTAATGTATAATATTAAAACTTGAATTATAATCTACAATTTGATACCAAACTTATTGACATACATTCATTAAATAATAGTTCAATAAAACTTTGAATGTGAGTCAACAAATGCAGTGATGTGGCCTTTGGCCTGTGACCCGTGTTGATAGGGTTAGATATTGTCAGACTTAACATGGTTTCTCAAGGCTGCAGGTATACATTTTTGTTAGTACTAATGACCTTAATTTTTACATTCATTGTGCATATGACACATTCACAATTATCATGTGCATTATATAAGACAGTCACTCTTTAATCACATGATACAGTATGTATTAGATCCATGTGATGCAACACAGAATGCTATAGAGGTGTATCTTTTGAAAAGTTACATATAAAATGGTGTCTGTGAGAGACAGTGAAAATTGCATCTTATTTTGTTGCAGTTGTATGTGATGCCAAAGGGTTAGTTCTGAGTTGGTCTGTTTCTCTATATGGGAGAACCTCTTCTTACCATGTGTTTGGTGCTGTGACTGTTTTGTTACAGTTGTACGTGATGCCAAAGGGTTGGTTCTGAGTTGGTCTGTTTCTCTATATGGGAGAACCTCTTCTTACCATGTGTTTGATGCTGTGACTGTTTTGTTACAGTTGTACGTGATGCCAAAGGGTTGGTTCTGAGTTGGTCTGTTTCTCTATATGGGAGAACCTCTTCTTACCATGTGTTTGATGCTGTGACTGTACATTCAGCTTTTATCATATCAGACAAAATATATTAAATTGCATCGTATTTTGTTACAGTTGTACGTGATGCCAAAGGGTTGGTTCTGAGTTGGTCTGTTTCTTTATATGGGAGAACCTCTTCTTACCATGTGTTTGATGCTGTGACTGTACATTCAGCTGTACATATATTTTCAGACAAAATATATTAAATTTTTGTAGTATAAGTTAGACATTTAACATGCTCTAATACGAAGACTATACAGATACTATAAAACACTGCAGTTTTTCTTAATATAAAATCATTTGACAAAAGCTTTGTAAAATATTCTAATTTCAAGTAGTTTTGGTTACCATAAGTTTGAATAAGGTCTGTTTTTTAATTATTTTTAAAGAGTTTATTGTGTGTTTATATTTTTAACAGCCTATGTACAATGGACCAATGCCACCAAGTACATACATGACACAGCAGGTTCAAGGTCTATACTCCTACCCACAAGTAGAGCAACAACAAGGTTATCCGCAGCCTCCTGTTGCAGCAGGTGAAGATCTCTTACCTTAGAACTGAAATGTATGACAAGAAATTATGTTCTTAAGATCATAAAAACAGTGGTTTTATCTGTCAAAATACAACATTAACAATGATATAAAATATTAAACATGCCTGTTTTCACTTTGTTTTTGACCATGTACATAATATAATTTCTTATATAGGTCTTCAAGGTTCAATGCCACTGTCAAACCACCCTCATATACCACAACAGTCCAGCATACCCACATCACCATCAGCTTCTCAAACTCCTTATTCTCTGCCTAATAATGTATCCTATTCAAGGTATGTTTTATCTCAAGTGTCAACCACAGAAAGGCATTTCTCCTTTGATGATCATTTATAATGTACATGCTGAAATCACACTTAATATTTGAAAACATAACCTGCTTAAGGTTATAAAAAAGATGTGTCATGCTTTAAATCATAAACAAATTCCTGTTATTTAATACTTGTCATTATTACAGGAACTGTCCATGTGTATTTTGTAGTCTTCTGTAGATTTAGTAGAAACATATGTAATACTGTACTTGTCATTATTTCAGAAACTGGTGGTATTTATTATGTAGTCTACTGTAGATTTAGTAGAAACGTATGTAATACTGTACTTGTCATTATTTCAGAAACTGTTGGTATATATGTTTTCTACCATATATACTTTCAAGAAACATGCAATAATTGGTTCTTGAAACCATCGGTAATTGGTGAAACTTCATAATTACAAAATTGAGGAAAAACAAGACAATTGTACTTTATTTATTCAAGACTATGATTTGCCAGTAAAGACATCATCGGGTACATACTGAAATGTTTTGTAACAGGGTTTATATACGTAACCTTGACATTCACCTACAGACAAGTGGGGTAAGAAGTGGGGAGGAGTTGGTTGAGAACATTTTCTGGATTTGTTTTTAGACTTCTATTTATTTCTAAAATTTCCATACTAACTAGTTTTTTACCTTTTTCACAGATATGTAAAATTTTGTAGTTTTTTTTTTCTGAATCAGATTGGTGTTGCCATATGAAAAACTACGAAACTGAATTAAAAACTGTAAAACAAATTGATGTTAACAATGGTTATACAACAAAATTAATTAACATATTGTTGTTTAAAAAATTGAAAGCCATAAATTTAATATCAATATACCCACATACTGTACCAAACAACAACAAAACAAATGGTTTAACATGAGCGACATTGGAAAACACACTGAACAAAGAAATCTACAGACTGGCTTTCTACTATAAAAACAACCTAGGAAATATGTTGTATAACAATGAAGATAGAATCAAAAGTACAGCAACAGTGGTGTTTATCAATTAACGTGTCAAGACTATAATAGTGTATATATAGGTCAAACAGGATGTTCAATAGAAACAAGATTTAAAAAACACTAGAAGCTGAAAATTAAGAAACTAAACACCAATCTGATCCAGAAAAAAAACTGCAAAATTTTACATATCTGTGAAAAAGGTTAAAAAAAAACTAGATAGTCTGGAAATTTTAGAAGTAAATAGAAGTCTAAAAACAAATCCAGAAAAAGTTCTAAACCAACTTAAGCTCCTCCTCACTTGTCTCTAGGTGAATGTCAAGGTCACTTCTGGTTCTTTGTTTAAACGTATATATATATAAACCCTGTTATAAAACACTTCAGTCTGTACCTGATGATGTCTTTACTGATAAAAACCATGGCCGTGAATAAATGATGTATTTGTGAAACATAAAGTTGTCTTGTTCTTCCTCAATTCTGTACATAAGTAATACTGTTCTTAATTTGTCATTATTATTGAAACTGTTGGTATATATTATGTTATTCTATCGTAGATATAGTAGGAACATAATGTAATACGTAATTTACTCACCATTATTACTGAAACTGTTGGTATATATATTATGTTATTCTACCGTAGATATAGTAGGAACATAACGTATTACGTAATTTACTCATCATTATTACTGAAACTGTTGGTATATATTATGTTATTCTACTTGAGTAAATTACGTATTACATTATGTTCCTACTATATCTACTATACCAACAGTTTCAGTAATAATGATGAGTAAATTACGTATTACGTTATGTTCCTACTATATCTACGGTAGAATAACATAATATATACCAACAGTTTCAGTAATAATGATGAGTAAATTACATATTACATTATGTTCCTACTATATCTATGGTAGAATAACATAATATATACCAACAGTTTCAGTAATAATGAGGTAGAATAACATAATATGAGTAAATTACGTATTACATTATGTTCCTACTATATCTACCCATTATGATAGGAACTGTTGGTATACGTTGAATCACGAATTTAATAGGCCTACTTGACTTGCTTATTGTTGTAACAGATACTCCTCCGTTTCCAAACTCTCTCGAAACTTCCAAGTGTGCATGATGAGAAACCCAGAGAGAGACAGAATGTAGAGATAGTTAAAGCAGTGCTCATGATCAAAACACACTTTACACAGTCATGTACTGAAAGTTTAAAAGTAATGCCTATAAGTAGTATTTTAGATTCTTAAGTACATCCAACTAGGAAGTAGAGTATCGGATAATGTGAATAATTATAGATTTCATGGATGTATAGTTGTACTATATTTGCTCATTTTTTTATGTTTATCACTAAAAAAGGTAGTTAAAAATTATTTTAAAAACAATGCCAATGTTAATATATTTGAAAATATTGAGGAACAGTTCAATAAATTTAAAGTCAATTAAATCAATGTTAAATCATTTCAAATTTGTAATAACCATTTTGAGATTTGGGGCAAGGGCTTTTCAAATTTGTAATAACAATTTTGAGATTTGGGGCAAGGGCTAGGCTGTCCTGGTTTTACAGTTTAGAAATCTGGTCATCCTATTCAAACATAAAACATGATAACCATTAAATTTTGTTTTTGATAATCCTATTCAATTAGTTTATCAGTTATTTCATTATTAGTGGTGTTTGTGGGTGCTAGATTTCTCAGAGTTGACATTGCACCAGAACAACAAACTTAACTTCCGTGTGTCACTGAATATTTATGCTTTTTGTTAAATGGTCAGAATTTAGGCACAATCTATTCGTAAAATATTTGTGTTTTTGAATATACTTAAACCAAAGCATACTGACATTATTTTTTATCCTATTACATTTTAAAATATGTACAACTACTTTTATAAATCATGTATATCCTACAATAGGTAAATCAGAAGGTATTTAATAATCTACCTTACTGCGTATTATTAAAAACTGTGTGAAGTAATGTATGTCACTGTCAACTTCTAAAATAGTCTTTTAATGGGCAATACTAATGATAGTTAATGATGTTTTTTGAATAAATTATCCTATTATAAACCTAAGAAAATATTTTATAATACTTGGGCCTACTTTAATTTAGATCATTCACAAAATGTGTAGTTATGAAGGTAATTATAACCTGCTTTTATGAATGCATAGTAATTTAGATCATTAAAAATGTTCATTCAATATGAGCCTTAAAATATACATAATTAAAATCGTTTTTTATTTTACTTTGTACATTATGGTAAGTCATTTAAAAAAGTTTTTTTTTCTGACCTAAACATTTTACTTTATATATCTTACAGAGTGTAATAAAATACCATTGTATAATATCTTCACCATTGACCATTAGAAAAAAATTATAACAATAATGTACCTAAAAAATACGATACACAATGACTTGAGTACTTTATAAAGATGGACCTTTCTTCTTCAGGATATTCCAATTTGCTCCTGAAGAAGAAAGGTCAATCAATCGAATGTGCTCGGGTTATAGGGTATCATATTTTTGAGTAAAATTGATTTCATGAACCTACGTATTTTCATAACATCATGAATAATGTACCTCTGTTATTTTATATGCAATATAAAATGTTTATTAATTACATTGTTAGATATAACAAACAATGTATTTCAGATCAGTTACGTTTAAGATCAAACATTTTATTAACATAGATTGTTAGATTATTAAACTATTTCACATCAGTTACATTAAGATCAAACATTTTATTAACATAGATTGTTAGATTATTAAACTATTTTACATCAGTTACATTAAGATCAAACATTTTATTAACATAGATTGTTAGATTATTAAACTATTTCACATCAGTTACATTAAGATCAAGCATTTTATTAATATTGGTTCTTAGATTATCAAACTGTTTATTTAACATCAGTTAACATTTTATCAATATAGATTGATAGATTATTAGACTGTTTCTGATCATTTAGATGCGAGATATGTATAAAGTAAATTGTGAGGTATGTCACACTGTTTGTAGATTTTATTACTACAGATTGATAGATTATTAGACTGTTTCTGATCATTTAGATGCGAGATATGTATAAAGTAAATTGTGAGGTATGTCAAACTGTTTATTTAACATCAGTTACATTTTTGATCAAACATTTTATTAGTACAGATTGATAGATTATTAGACTGCTTCCGATCATTTAGATGTGAGATATGTATAAAGTAAATTGTGAGGTATGTCACACTGTTTATACATTTTATTAGTACAGATTGATAGATTATTAGACTGTTTCCGATCATTTAGATGTGAGATATGTATAAAGTAAATTGTGAGGTATGTCACACTGTTTATACATTTTATTAGTACAGATTGATAGATTATTAGACTGTTTCCGATCATTTAGATGCGAGATATGTATAAAGTAAATTGTGAGGTATGTCACACTGTTTATATTATTTACATGTAATATCAAAAATTTTATAAATTAGATTGTTAGTAATATTAAACTGCTAAGTTTTGACAAGGTACCTTACTTCTGCTTACATCCGTTGCTATTGTCATTCAGTGCTGCCCCTGATTTATACAAAAATTTCTTGCATGCCACAAGCCTTTCACTCCCACACATCTCTTGATTCACATGATTTAACCAATTCTCACATGCAAACTATTATGCAACAAACCTCCACCAATAGAAGTGCCACACACCCATGCGACTCCTTCTATGCTATTCTACCTACGTATTGATTTACTCTTATTGAGTTTACTATTTATTATCCAATTGTACTAATTTGTAACTCATTCTGAAGTGGAATTATTTTATATTCCTACACAGTTACAAAACATAGTCATTAAATACAAACTTTTTTGTACTTTTTATTTCTTTTTAACAACACAGTTGTGTTTGATTATTCCTTTTGAATTATGAATTCTAAGTTACCACTTTGGAGGCTATAACATCTACCAGTAAATTTACATGGAATTATCGGCAATTGTTTCGTGAAGAGATTATCATTATTTGAACCAGTCTTCTTCTCGTGATGTTGGCCACTTTTTTCCTGAACAAACTGAACATCTTTGGGACAACGAAGCATTTGACAGCCTTTTTCCTCTACTTGAATTTGCCGTGTCTTCCCAAGTTCATACTGCAGGATCAACTAGGTTTCATCTGGCTTTTCTGGTCATGATTTTATGGGTATGTTCTGTTTTATCCCTCTTCCTGATTACCTATAATCCTGTCCCTTCTTTCTCGTGGGATACTCCTTCCTCTCAGTATTTTGTGTTTTCCCCTTCCCCTGATATTGGGGTTCATGCTGAGCGTTTTGTATCACAGTTATGTGAAGACACTAGCATGCTTTGCCTTCTACAAACTTCTGATCAGTTTACTTTAGCCTACCATTAGGCTGATTTTCTGTTCTTTGATTCTCAGCATCTAGAATCAATTTTACCCAATTGGCGGGCAGACCTTGATTACCCTGTTCATTTATCCCATGCCCAATTTTCTCACCTTCGTCTTACCTTCATGTCTGTTCTACAGTATTTGTCTACCATCCACCTCCTCTCTTGCCAGTTGCTCCACTTCATCTTCTTGCACTACCCCTCAATGTCTTTATATTTAGGATGTTACTGTGTTTGGGTGTGGTTCAAATCTATTTGATTTGAGTGGGACATAGCACATTGCAGGGACATCTTTCTTGCTTCTGTTTGTCCAGAGGTCAGGTTCCCTGGTTCAATATATATGTGTGTGTATATATGTATATATAAGATACTTCACTCTGCTCACATGTGTCCTGTTCACAGATCAGTGGTGGGATTTCTCCCTCCAGCAGGCTGAACTTGAGTGAAGATGATATGATCCTCTTTCCTACCTCCACATGGATGTCAGTTCCTGGCGGTTGAGTTTTGAATTGTAGTTGACTTACCGACAGTATGATTCTCATCCTACACCCACATGGATGCTGGTTCCCAGTGGTGAAGTTTTAGACACAGATGACTTGCCATGTAAAGTCCATCATGCCCTAGCCACTCTACACCTTAGGGTACATTCCTTAATTTACCCACATTCCATTCATTAGAGAGATTGAAATTATTATATGTTGTTGTTTGAATCACTGTCCAATCTGTGTTCTCTCCCATTGGGTTTGCTCCTCAGAATTATCCACTCAGATCTGCCACACTTTTTACAAGTCTGGGCGAAGAGTATATCTGGTATAGAAGTGGTGCAAACTCCCACATATAATCTTCTTATCAGAGGGATCCCTTGTTAGATTGTCCTTCGGGTGCTTTTGAAAGATGCTTCTACTTTCTCCCTTGCACCGGTCTCTCTACCTATTCAATGTGGGATTGTAGCTATCTTTGTGAGCAGAAGTAAGGTACCTTGTTGACTGTTATAATTTTCCTATACTGAAAATGTCTTTTCAACAGGTACTTAATTCTGCTCACACTTCCCACCCTTCCTCCCCACTGTCAATCAGTGTTTAAGTAACTTGAAGTGATAGTTAGGTAGAATAGCATAGAGTGAGTCACATGGGTCATGTGTGGCACTTCTATTGGTGAAGGTTTGCATGTGACAATCAGTTAAACCATGTGAATCGAGGGGTGTGTAGGAGTGGAAGGCTTGTGGCATGCAAAAATATTTTGCAAATAGAGGGCAGCACTGAATGAGAATAGCTATGTATGGGAGTGGAAGTAAGTACCTGTTGAAAATTATAAATATAGATAACTTACATATCATATTTAAATTATAAACATTGTTTCTTATGTGTGTGAAATTAACATCTTGTTTTGCTGAATTTAAATCATAATTTTACCTTTGTAGATGAAATTAAATGCAAACAATGGTAAGAACATCAATAACATTAAATGTAATATATAAAATAGTATTTGCAATTTCAACAGTATCGTATAGAAGTCAGTTCTATTTAAATAACATAACTTTCAGAGAAGAGGAATGTCTAAATGTGACAAGAATGTGTTTATTACACTGTTTTTGAAATATTTTTGCACAATTAGGGTGAACTAAAATTATGATACATTAAGATTTGTGTGTTAGTTATTTGCTACATATATCATGAGTAAGAATACCAAGGAGATAAAGATTTACCTGTTTTAATCAGCTTGAATCAAGCTCTGGTTTTCTCTAAACTGTTAATTTTATTTTTTACCTATAAACTAGAACTAACTGTATTGTTTAATAACATACATACATTGTGAAATGTTTTTATGAACAGGCATATTTTACATTCCAAAATGTATAAAAACTTTTACTTCGAGGGATTGAGTTATCAAGTAGTGTAAGAGTAAAGGGACTTAAGATGACATATATTAGTGTACTGGTGGACCAGCTTCTGGTGTGGCCAGCTGAGAGGATGACTTTTCCAAGTTGAGTTATCAAGTAATGTAAGAGTAAAGGGACTTAAGATGACATATATTAGTGTACTGTTGGACCAGCTTCTGGTGGGGCCAGCTGAGAGGATGACTTTTCCAAATTTTTGGAGTGCATTTTATATTAAAAAAATTAATACTGCATACTGGTATGTAAAACATATGTTGCTAGGCCTTTCTGTATTATAGGAGTGCTCACATATAAATTTGGGGTGCCATGGGAGTTGGAGACATTCTCCATTATCCCATCACTTTGAGAAACATTTTTCATTGTCAGGAAATTACATTTTATATTATGTAGCACCTCAATTCCTAAGATGGTAACAGTTCACTACACCTTGAATCCATAGGTTTATTTATAATTTATTATAAGAATGACTAGAATATCTTGGCCATACTGTATAACTTGCAAACAATAAAATAATAGGAAAATATAAACTTTATAACATGAAGTGATTTACAATATTATAATAAGATGATACTGCTTGTTATATATTTATGAAGCAATCACTTTCAAATAGGTTGTGTAAACTAAAAATAAAAGAAACTGAAAAAAAATCTCATTTTTAAAGAAGAGTTTTGTTGTTTTTTACTTCTGATCTTCAAGTGGTTACTCTTCACCTTCAAACATGATGACAGGCAATAGAGGACAAGTCCAGGGGATGGGGGGAGAAGCTGTTTCATTTTCTCCACACTTCTCTGAAGCTATGTCAATAACACAGCAGCCTCTGTTATGAATGAAACTGCTGGAGGATTGAGACATCCTGGAAGCAATCCAAAGAGAAGAATCATATAATCAAATCTTTCTTGAAAAGCTTAGTTCAAAGGAGTCTTCTTGCAGAATGGAGTACGATAATTATTTTCTTATAAGGTCTATGATCTTTGGCTGTTTGTTGGTGTAGTTTTTTGAGGGCATCTTCCTAAAGAATTTTAAATTAGTTCAAATGTAAGTTGTGTGAATATTTTTTGTCATATTTTGTATCATACACAGTGTATTTTATGCTGTTTAAGGAAGTTATTAGTAAATGTTTTGTTTTTCTTTCTGAATAGTTTTGTGTGATATACAAAGTAATATCCATTTTTGAGTACTTCAAAAAAAACGTTTTTTAAGTTTAATAGGACAAGCCAGGATTTATAAAGAACAGTTTGACTGTAGGTGAATGAACTTTACCTTTGTTTATTGTATGTGAATGTTATGTGATTAATTTCGGACAAAGTAAAATAGTACATATTCTTTCAATTTGGAGATGGCTTGAATGGGTATTGAAAGAAACTTTATTACAAGTAATCTGTATGACATACCTTTTGTCATCATCAGTACTGATAACAGAAGTTTATTGAAACATGCTACATGTGTTACTTATACTAGTTTCTTTCATTACTCTCCAAACTTTATTGTCTAAAAGCTGTTTCCTCATCATCGAAAATTACATCACTTGTTGAATCATAAGGTTGAAAATTTGGTAAAAGAAAAGATGGGTATTATTGTTCCAACTGAAAGCAAAGAATAATAATAATATTTCAAACACACTATACCAGTTATTTCAGGTACCAACGAAGCCTTTTATCCAGAGCTCACCAGGCCAGCTGGGATATGACAGACATAGTAGTGGTTGAGATGCTATTTATATTAAGAAATTTCCAATACCAGAACTTACCAGGCCAGCTGGGATATGACAGACATAGTAGTGGTTGAGATACTATTTATATTAATAAATTTCCAGTACCAGAACTTACCAGGCCAGCTGGGATATGACAGGCATAGTAGTCATTGAGATACTATTAGCAGATTACTTGACAGCAACTGTTATTCTGCTTGTTTTGGAATTCACTTGGAAAACAATTAAATTATAGGGGAAAATATCGTAGTCCATAATTGTTGAATTCTGAATAAAAACCTTAAGAAGCATTTGTTTAGTTAAAACTGTTTTATACTTTAAAAGTGTTCTTCCTGTCAGTGCTTTTACACAGTGCTTTAATCAATTAAAAAAATTTGAATTTAAATAACAGCTGTAACTGAATATTTTATAACAATATGTATGATTTTCCTGTCTTGTATGGGAATTATTTTGTTTTTATTCTGAAAGTTAGTATAGAGCAGGATTAAGACTTTAAATTTGGTGTTTAAATCCATATGGTTGACATGTATGTTCATAAAATAACTATCAACATGTAAAAATTTTATTTTACTTTTGAAGAGACAACAGAGATGTGAAATATTTTCAGTTGAAGTTAAAGCTTACGTGTAGAATAGGTAGTAAATTTGTAGAATTTCATCTGGGAAATAAACATACAACTGCTGATTTTCTTTGTGATTGATTCATAACAGAAAGGAGAGATGACAAGTGAGCTTTTGTTTTGTTAATAAGATTTATTGATTAAAAATACTGTTTCTTCACTAATTCATACTCACATACTTCTGTATATACTCTCTGTTTTAGTGTAAAATCTTCATACTTTCATTGTATAATGACAGTGTTTATATTTATTGTTATTAATGTGTGATTTAGGAAAAAGTCCAACCTTGGTGTTGGTCAATTTGACCGATTCACGTGACCTTTTGTACCCATTTAAAGTTGACATAAATTTAATGCTTATAACTCTATATATATTCACGAAATTTGGCAGTCTTTCACTTAATATTACAAGTCTTTCACATACAAAAATTCATATTTCTTAGTGATGTATTTTTTAATAAAATAATTGAGTTGACGTACCAGCTTTTTCTAAAAACTAAGCCTCACAAAAATTTGCTCATCCCATTTTTTACCAAATTGTTGCATGTTGTCGCAGTTAGTGTTGCTGCATGTAGTGTGTATATATATATATATATATATACTGTATAAACTCTAGCAATTGTGATCTATTTGAAAAGGATATGAATAACATTTGCAAATGAAGACTCAAAATAATTAAGCAATTGACTTGAACTTAATAGATAGATGAAAATGTGTTAATAATTAACATGAAGCTTGCCATCATTTGTTGAGTATGATTTTTTTTTATTTAGTATTAATATTAGTGATCCTAAGTAATTCAAAAATGCTGAAAAGCAAAATATATTTCCTGTTATAAAGTTTTGTTGTCAGTAATACTTTTAACATGTTGCTGAAAAGATTCACTGTCTCTGTTTTGATAGATAACCATCACAAAGTGTTAAAAGGTAAGTCAGAGATCTTGCTTCAGTAACTATGACTTCTAAAGTGGTCACTTGAAGAGAGCATTTTTTTTTCTTTATTGTAAAGTTACATAATGAACTGTCCACACACACACACACACATACATATCTGTTTAGTATGGTTTCATGAAACAGTATTTTTTCACTACTTAATGTTAGATCTCTTTTTAAAAATGTGTATTTTTCCCTCATATTTCATATATCTATAGTTCTGTGTATAGTAGATTTTTAATGCAAGCTTGGTAATGTAGTTTCAGTCTAATCATTTGACATTTTATTTAAACTGTTTTTCTTCTCAAAGTAATTTCTCCTGTACAAAATGTTGTTTTACTATTTCGAAAGTTATGTATTCATACACTGTTAGCATCCAGTATTACAAATATAAACTTACACAGCTTGGGTTCTGATCACTCCAGTATTACAAATATAAACTTACACAGCTTGGGTTCTGATCACATTGGGTTCTGATCACAACATAAGAATTACATGGGACACACAGCCATATATTGATACTTACATAAGAATTATATGGGACATACAGCCATATATTGATACTTACATAAGAATTACTTCACTCATGAAATATGCATCACTAATGATAAATTAAAAAATTCACATGATTAACCAAATCACTTTACAAGACAATGAACTGGTAATAAACTAAATTAATATTTACAAAATAAAGCTCTTATAACATTACAAATCCTTTTAAATGAAAGACATGCTAAGCTTGATGCTTTAGTTTCCTTACATTCAGTGCCACAGCCATATATTGATACGTACATAAGAATTACATGGGACACACAGCCATATATTGATACTTACATAAGAATTACATGGAACACACAGCCATATATTGATACTCACATAACAATTACATGGAACACACATCCATATATTGATACTTACATAAGAATTACATGGGACACACAGCCATATATTGATACGTTGTTCCATGTAATTCTTATGTAAGTATCAATATATGGCTGAATGTTCCTTGTAATTCTTATGTAAGTATCAATACATCACTGTGTGTCCCATGTAATTCTTATGTAAATATCAATATATGGCTGTGTGTTCCATGTAATTCTTATGTAAGTATCAATATATGGCTGTGTGTCCCATATAATTCTTATGTAAGTACCAATATATGGCTTTGTGTTCCATGTAATTCTTGTGTAAGTATCAATATATGGATGTGTGTTCCATGTAATTGTTATGTGAGTATCAATATATGGCTGTATGTCCAATATAATTCTTATGTGAGTATCAATATATATATGGTTGTGTCCCATGTAATTCTTATGTAAGTATCAATATATGTCTGTATGTCCCATGTAATTCTTATGTAAGTATCAATATATGGCTGTATGTCCCATGTAATTCTTATGTAAGTATCAATATATGGCTGCGTGTCCCATGTAATTCTTATGTAAGTATCAAC